AGGTTTCTCAGTGAGGTTTTAACTGAGCCGCCATCCTGGGACAAGGGGGCTTCCTGCCTGCCTGCCATACGGTAGGAAGGGATGCCTGCCCCATCCCTTAAAGGTGGAGATGCAATTTGCAACTGGTTCTGGCCGCAAGAAGTATGCTATCAAGCCCAACTTTGGGAGACCCCAGAGAGTGGGACAAAATCAGAGGAAAACATGGCTCCCCTACACCCCTGGAGCTGACAGCAGACTTCAGGCTGAGGGATCTGCTGCTCCTCTCCACGCCTCAGGCACAGATGCACATAAGCTCTAGTGGGAACCTGGATCAGCAGCTACTATGCAACCATCATGTCTGCGTGATTCTGCAATGATAGAAGGGTGGCAAAACTGCTCCAGCGTTAGCCCTGCTCCATCCACGGTTGCAATCAGAGTAATTCAGCTCACTTGCATAGGACCGGGCAGATGTAACACTTATAAGCTAATGTCCCCCCTGGCTTTCTAAAGGGGCTAGAAAGCATGTCTGTCCATAGCCCTGATGCATTTGGCGCTGCGCTGCATGGCAGCCAGGAGCAAAGGTCAGTGCCAGACGCACATGGCCCAGATCCCTATCTCCTGGGTTCCTTGGACTCTGTGACACTAGTGCTACATCTTATCTCCATTGCGTCCTTCACTCAGACACACACAGGCACACACACATTCTAGCACAGCGGCACCCAAAGACGGCTTTGCTACGCAGCCTGGAAGAGTTGGAGGTCGTAGCAGGAGGGGATCATGGGTGATGCATGGGCGGTGGGGATGATCACATACATCAAGGGACAACCAAGAATAATACAAGAATTACAGAATCATGGGCAGCGTCCAGACGTGCGTGGACATTAGGTTCCCCGGGGACAACGAGCGGCAGTGCAGCCTGTGCCGCTGCTAATTGCCCTCGGGGAATTCCTGTGCCACACATGCTCTGGTGTGTGGCAAGTTACCCCGGGTGGGGTAGGGGTGGCTGGGGCAGCCTTACCTGGGGGCTGCAGGAGTGGTGATCCTGCCATGAGGAGCCTGCCAGTGGTGAGTATGGTTTTGGCCAGACAGGCTTCAGTTTTGAGTGGCATATACTGCTCTGCTTTTTTTTCCCCGAGTTTTTTTAACCCCTGGATATCCGGGGATCAAAAAAACCCTCCACACTACTCCTTTGCAATGCAGAGAACTGACCGTGCAGTATATGGCACCACAGACGTGTCTGCAGCACCACGTATTGCACAGCCATGCTCATCTGGACACGGCCATAGAGGAGTGGGGCCGGAAGGTACCTGCAGAGGTCACATCTAGTCCAATGGTCAGCCTTGTCCAAACTACCCCAGACAAATCCATAATCTAAACTCTTTGTAAAACTACTGTCAAGCCCCATCAAGAGGGTGCGGCACAGCATCACCCTCTTCCAGGGTAGCCATGGACTCCTTAAGCAGTTTCTTTGGCTGCTTCGCCCTCAGCTTATAGCTACAGGCGTCAGGACCTACAGGGCTCACTCACCCTGCAAGGCTCCGTCTCCTTCTGAGAGCTTGGCCTTCTTGTACCTAAGCAGGACTCGGCCTACTGGACCCTCTCGCCCCTGCTGACAGCGCCTTCACCATCCGCTCTTTAACCTGCTCCACTGTACACGAACTGGGCTTGTACATGTGGCAAGTCACCAAAATAGCCCTTGGGTGAGGAACCTGCTAGATGTCCCTACCTCAGGCACTGGTTCTGCATCCATCGGGGACTGTGATGTTGGGGGGAGGAGGATTTGAGATGGCTGACCTGCTTGCTGTGGAGCAGTTACCAGGAGTGTGGGGAGACTTGTTGCCCTTGCTGGGAGAAGCGTGGCGCTGCCTCAGCAGTATTACCCATGCATGTGGCTGGCCTAGCACAAACCCTGGCTGGGCAGGGACACTGGCAGCAGTTATTAGGGGAGTCACCTTTGACTTGCAGATGACTCAGCAGCCCTGGTGCTGGAAGCAGGGGTGTTCAGTGGAGATGGCAAAGGGCTGGGAGGCAAGAGATCTCAGTTCCACTCCTGACCTCTGCCAAAGGACTCAGTCTCTTTGGCTGTGAAAGGGGGATAGTAATGCCCACCTTTGTAAAGCTCTAAGGGTTTGTGAGCATGGGAAGACAATCCAGGACGGCTCCTCTTCACTGGCTCTCATGCAGGTGTCTATTTTTCACCGAGAGGCCTTGCCTAGCTCACTCTGGAAGTGGCTTAAGCCAACCCACACAAAGCCACTCAGGGCAGGGGCAGAAGAAACACTTACACTGGCGTATTTGGCAATAACTAGCAATTCACCAGCATAAAGAGGTAGTGGCCAGATAACCCCATCTGCCAAACTGGGGTGACTTCAACCAATCCAGTGGAGAACTGTCCCTAATAAAATGAGAGGTAAAATTCCTGCAGTGTTAAGCTACAGCGGTGTAATGATGGCCTGTCTGCGCTGCATCCGACCTGGAGTAGCCAACTGCTAAAGGCAAAGAGGCTACTCCCTGCCCTCCTACAGGGAGCAGCAAGCCATAGCAGGAGTCAGTGCATGACAGCTGCACATCTGTTTGTTCCTGATCCTGGTATCACATTTATATCAGCATCTAAAGCCAATGTACATCACGCCAGGGTGTGTGTTCATCTGCCTGTGCCCTCAGCATGGCGTAGGGGTGGAATCGCTATTGTGCTTTCAATTCATGTCATTTTGCAATAGATTCTTGATGAGCCCTGAACTCTATGGGAATAGATGAGCCCTGAAATCTATGGGTTATTGGATTGGAGGGAATTAAAGTGCCCAGCTTTTGTAACACAAAAATGTGTCACTGGCTGTGAACAGCCTGAGGGTCGCAGGCTGCAGCCAGGCAAAGTGGAGCATGTCCCAAGCGAGGAGAAGGGGCTGTGGGGCACTCTGCATACGAGAGGATGTCGGCTGGAAGGCTCCAGTGGTGGGTAATGAAGCAGGAATCATGCCAGTTCCTCAGGGGGTGACTGGCCTGTCCTTCTAGAGCAAGAAACTGGAAGGACAGGAGAAATAATAACCAATTTGTGCCCTAGGTCCTGTTTCCATCACTCAGTCCTGTGCTCACAAGCTGTTTCCACACACTGATTGGGAGGGACTGAGGGACTGGTGAGACATACTGCATCACTCCACCACATATGCTGTGTAGAGATTGAGGGAGATCTCAGCTAAGCAGGGTGAGAGTGAGGACAGCAGGGAGGATAGCAGCTGGCTGCAAATGTGGCAGGCCTCAATTTACATCTCCTGCCTGCAGAGACTGCTAGCATAGCACCAGGACACTGGTTCCATGCTGATTCAGACCCTCCTCACAAGTGGCGCCAGGAGCCTTGGTGTTTGCAAAGCACTGTGAGAAACCCAGAGAGAAGGCAGCAGAGAAATAGTTTCATAGTTTCTAGGGTCGGAAGGGACCTG